CTCTGAGCTTTCACTTTCAACCATCACTACATTCTCTCATCCTAGAACTTGAGCTTCATTAATATTCTGATATTCTCTAGTTGTGAGCTTACACTTGTATATCTATTGAGAGAGATTCTTGTATTTCATTTACAAACTTTGCTACAATTTTGTAAGGGTTGGTGTGACCCAAAAGAAGCCTAGGAGAAGGGTGTTCTCCTAGCAAGGAAAAGAAGCAAGGTCTTGCTTCAAAATTGAAGGTTTGCTCTCCACCATTAAGGAGAAGCTCTAGTGAATTTAGGAAGTCTCAAGGGGGATCTTGAGCAGAGGAGTAGGAGTTTCCGAACCTCGCTAAATCACCGAGTTCATTGTTTGCATTTTCCTATCTCTATCTCTTTTATACTTGTGCTATATATTGCTTAAAATTTTCAATTAATCATTGCATAATAGTTGTTGTAAAACAAATTTCATAAATTGCGAAAATTGGCCATTGACTCTATTCACCCCCCCTCTAGAGTCAATTAGTGGTTAACAGTCTACATTTGAAAACTGAAATATAAACGAATCTCCTAAATAGAATCGGAAAAATGAAGTAGACTGATCCCTGCTCAACACGAACAACCTTTACTCCTGATGAACACCTGAAAAATAATGGTGGGTTAGACCCACAAACAAGTTCTACTCTACTATAGTCCAAGAAGAGATCCGATACATGTATACATCCTAGTCAATCTAACAATAACTAGTAGTCCATATATATATATATATACACAAACACACACACACACACACACACACACTAAAAGGGCTCCCACTGGGTTATAAGGCGGCCCAACCTGAATGGAAGGTAACATGCAAAACGCACCAATAGTGGGCATGAGTACCTAGACCTACCAGGGCACGCCTTAATCCACTATAATCAGCTAACCACCCCATGTAATATACGCACCCTAATCACTGATCCTAAGACTCAAGCTCATATCATGACATATAATTATATATGTAAAATTCGTCTTATCCAACCATAAAAGTAAACTATCCATCCATATATTTCAATGGTGTATCATCCAACTTTTTCATTGACCTGACAAGAATAAGTAGGACTTAACTTTCAAGTCAACCCGTTCCCTTATAAATCCAAATAGGCAGGACTTAACCTATTTAGTTAATCCGTCTCTAGAATGCCACCATCCCATACTGGTGCATTACATCCATACAATCCAATAGTTGATGTAAGAATTGAAGCAATACATCAAATAAATCCAAAAATAAACATAATAACAAAATATCATGCTATCACAAAATAGGAATGACTTATAATTTATTTAAGTTTCCTACACCATGTATCCCACACAAACTAAATCTTAAACATGCTGATATTTTATTTCACAATCAAGTAAGTATTCTCCAAATACAATTCATGCTAAACATTTGACCTTAATTGCTAGAACAAATTAAAGAGATTAAATCCATTCATTATTGTAAAAATTCAAATAGCATGCATCATTATGTTCAAGTCTATTTAAAATTTATTTAAACTCATACCTAGTCCCTATTTAATGTTCGGGACCTCTCAAAATCAATTAAGGTCAATTTAAATACTGTTTACGAAAGTTCCTAAAGCAAGGCTCGAGCTTTTAACCTGATAGCTCGAGCTTTCAATCTATGGTTTGAGCTTTTCATCAATATCTCGAACTTTGCATCAATAGCTCGAGCTTTAACCGCAAGGGTTGAACTTTAACTCCAAAGCTCGAGCTTTGCCTCCAAGGCTTGAGAACTGTAACAACGGACTGAACACTGTTACGCAAATCAGCCCAAAAATCCTACTGTAAACCTGTTCTTCATTGTTAAGGGTTCTAAGCTCCAATCTAAGTCTCATTCATCCATATTAATTTATTTTAGATGATTTAACATGTAAAAATCCAACTTAAACACCAAATCATGCATCAAAATTCAAGAATCATTTAAATCAAGAATATATATGTAAACACATAAAACCCTCTATTCTAAACCAATTCAAGTATGCAAAATTATTCAATTTTAATGTTTAAGCATCCTGGAATTTCCTAGGCACGTATAGAACATAAATCTAAGGGGGAGAGTAAGAGAAGAACTTGCCTCTTAAGGTTTTCAGATAAAAAAATTCAGACTCATTCTTCTTTGATTTTCTTCTCTAATGGTTCTTCTCCTCCTTTTTTCTTCTTCTTCCTCCTTTTCTCTCTAACTCTCTCTCTTAAAAAATATATTACGTGATTTATTTTTCAGCCCTTTTTACAATCCTATAGTTATATATTTATAGACAACTAAAATAACCCTAATCCTTTTTGGTGTGTCAAGGCCTAGTTCACAAAGAGTGTGGTGTGTGAAATGAAATGTGGCCAAGTTTGAATTTATAGAATGCCACTACCACTACTAACTATTAATGTAGGTAGAGTAAGTAGGGATCGTCCCAAGGGAAAGGAGAGGTATTCTTGGAATCAATGATGAATTAGTAGGTTAAATGATCAAAAGATGGTTTAATTGATTAATTAAATTAACGGCTCACTTAAAGCAATGAAAGTAAGTAACAATCTAGAAATTAGAGAAAATATATGAGAGAAAGGTCTTAAGGTCTTGGGGCTTAGAGTTCACCACTAAGCTTCTCTTCACCAAATACTAGTAATTGTAAATTAATGGAAAAATTTAAGTTGTAACTTGCAAGTGTGTGTGTCACCAATTTAAAACTAAACATGGATGGCAAATAAGCATAGATTGTCTAATCAATCTAATGAGTAGCAAAAACTATTAAATGAGACCATTAACCATTCAATTAAACCACAATTAGTGCATACACAAATATCTAGAGAAATGTATTTCTTGCATTCATAAGTGTGGAACATCAAACAACAAGAATGGATTGTTTACCTACCTAAGAAGTTAAAGCAATTACAGTACAATTAAGCTAATGACATGAAAATTAAGCTAATTAAACTAAAGATGTGGCACAATCCATCAAGAAATAAGTATGAACTATCAAATAAATCACAAGAGTAATCAATTAAGCACCATGCCTTGACCATCACTAGATTAACAACATTAACACACATAGACATGCATTAATTTTATTAAATCTATAGAAAAACACATAAACATTCATTTTAGCGTACATATACATATGGATAAAATTAAATGATCAATTGAAAGCATTATTCCATATAAATCATGTAGAAATTACAAGATCTATATTAATTAATGGTAAAAACATCCATTACAACTAAAATCCCCAAAAATACATAAAAGCTAGGTTTAGGAAGCAAGCCTAGGGGCTATCTCTAGCCCCAAGAGAAGGATTTAGCCACTCATTGTAGTGGTTATGGAACCCTTAAGGGCTAACTTGGAGGTTGGCATCATCATTTTCATCCTTACTTTCTTCCCAAAACCCTAGTTCTAGAGAGAAAACTTTCTATATTGGTAAAGAAAACTATATCATCTTTTTACAATATAGTTTAATGTATCTATTACGAGCCTCTTTGAGTAGTCACCAAGTCAGAAATACAGCCTATGATTGGAGGAAATTTGCAGCTACACAAGTTAGGTAGAGTCTGACGCGCTCGGGAATTAAACAGCTCATTGTCAGCAGTCAATTCGATCGATCGAAGAGGATTTCGATCGATCCAACACTTGCTTCGATCGATCAAAGCTGACGTGGCATCAAAAATATCATCTGAGCCTTATCCACTTTGCTAAGCTAGCATTGCCTCATTTCGATCGATTGTAGCCATCTTTGATCGATCGGGATTCCCTTCGATCGATCGAAGCTCTTGTGCAAAAACAGGAATAGGCAAATAAGTACTAAGACATGAAAGTAAGATAAATAAATGGACTAAAGTACTTTAACTTATGTGCTAAAATGCGTCACATTTGAGCACTTATCACATTTTCAAATCCAAGTCAACTTAATAGAGAAAATAATAAAATTAAAATATTAAAAAAGATAACTTAAAATATGTTACGTATGTAATCTATGTATATCTTTATTATATAAATATTTAAAATATATACATCAGAATATTTATTAATACTAACGTTACCCTAATATCAATTAATAATTTACTTTCATTATATATATATATATATATATATATATATATATATATATATACATATATAATTATCCATGAGTAATTATCCATACCCATTAAATACTATCCAAGTAGTCCATGGGACATAATTGGTTGACCCATTATTATTAACCATAACCATAAAATAAAATAAAATAAAACATTTAATCTACAATTAATCAAGCACATCATTTAAACACATAATCTAATTAAACAAAAAATACAAATAACACATAGACAAATAACCAATTAATAAAGTAACACTTAATTCAATTAAACACATAAGCAATTAGCCAAATAATCAATTAAACAATTAAAAATGCAATTAAAACAAATAAATAAATACCGAGACTATCTTTTTAAAATTAGGGGTATTACAAACGACATCTTACATGATTCATCTTCATCGTCATCGTCTACAACAAATACATCCTCGATCGTAAGCTCTACAATCGGCCATACCCGATCTCTCTCACCATGATTCACATGGGTTTTTGCTCCGCCTTAGCCATCATTTGCAATTGCGTCTTTTCTACCTTAGTCGTTTGTGTACCAAAATGGGATGAACATAGCTAGCTGCTGGGTCAGCGTAGGTGTATATACAATGGTATAACGATTATAAAACTATATATGGAATAATAAATTTTTCCCAAGGCATATGAGTCACGTGCCTCCGTTTGGCATTAAACATGAGACGCCCAACTAACAGAATTTGATGTTTTGCAAAAAATGGTATAGTTTACGGGGTTAAGTGTCTTTCTCATAGTTTAGGGGTTTTTTTGAGAAAGAGAAAAAAGTTAAGAGGTTTAAAGCAATTAGCCCTAATTTTATTTGAAGGGCCTAGGGAGACTCATGGCGCGAAAATCAGCAGCAATTATGATGGGGAATTACAAGATGTGGTGAGGACCACATGAATCTCCTCTCCACTCGCGCTATAAAGGCCCTAACTTTCCCGCCACCTCTGAAGACGCGTAACCCCTTGATTTTCCGAGAAAATCTCTAATTTCTCATCAGACACCTTACATTTCACTCCCAATATTCTGTTATGGTTTCTCATAATTCATATGCCCTAAACTTTTCCGGGATATTTCCTTTTCCTCGTTGAAATTAGGGTTTCCGATCTGATATTGGAGTCGAATTCCAACTCTTCTCCGTTTGTGGAACTTGTTTAGGGTTTTCGAAAATGTTGACTACATTATGCTGGAGACACCACACGCTGATTCAATCTCTGCTATCTCGCGGTCCGCTCAGGGAGGATGAGTTCCATTCTATCTTCTCCAACGTTACTGGGAAAAGTCCAGGTCTTGCTTTGCTTTGTTTCAATTAGTTTCTTTTCTAATGCATTCGAAATTTAACATAAAATTGATGCTTATGCCTGTATTAAATTCTGTTTGTTAAACGAATTAAGAGAAGTACTTGGCCCGGGGACAAAAATACAAGTATCAATAATCAACAGATGGTTTTCAGCTCGAAATTTTTTCAGAAATTGAGCTCTCTCCTCCCGACTGTTACGTATTCTTTTAAGATATAATCTATACACGATAAGGCTACTGGGGAAAAAGGATGAATATGACGTGGATGTAGAGAGAGAAAAGGGGAAGGAGAGAGAGAGAGTGAGGCTTAAGATGAGATTAAGCAGTAATCTCTAATTTAAGATTTTGGGAGTGTTTGGATTGTAACCAGTGTACTCAGATTTGTACAACTATCAGAATTGGTTGATAACAATGAGGATTAAACCAGTTTGAACCATCTGAGGATTTCATAGAGTTGATTTAATGACTTTGACTATTGGAAAATATGTTCACAAAATAGTTGCATTGGTGGGTTGAAAATCGTCCATCACGATGACTTGGTACAGGCAAATCTGACCATCTGTGCAGTGAATGTAATGATGTTGAAATCTAAGCGTCCTGATCTGTGGAGTACTTACTTCGTTTTTCCTTTTTTCTTTTTTAATTCAAGTTCTAAAGCACTAAATCTTCCTGGGGTTGCTCACAGCCTCACACACAACATTGATTCTTCTCATGATGTGCTTCATTAGAGAGAGTTGTCATCTTTAACTGCTTTCAAGTAAAAATCAATTTTATGAATCCATATGTATGCTTTTCAGAAATATACTTTGCTTGTTTCACATATATCCATTGTTTGACCAAAATAATTTGATGATTTGGACCTGTTGGAACAACTATCTGAAAATACATCTACGAATAGTAGCTTATCACCTAAACTCATCTATATCAGTAGGCATCTTAAATAATCCTTCATTCATAGGATTATCAAGTGCTTGCATTTTGTCTTGATATGAACAAGTTATTTGTCCCAATTTGTGTGCCCATGTTATTGAATTTTTAGGTGCTAGAATTATTTAGATGGACTTGAGGTCTACGTGTTGGTGCAGGAACGTATCCTCCCTGAGGATGGCAACTAGCCCCATTGCAGATGTGTTCTCTATGGTTATATGACTCCTATTGGCTCCATTATTAACCGAGAAGGCTTCTTTCATGCAATGCATTCTGATTTCATAAAAGAAGTCCATAAACTCAGCCCTTGTAAGGTGTCACTCCCCATTGTTAAGGAGATTGTTGCACTTTCATCATTTATCATTAGACCAAGTCTGCTAGGACTCATACCCACTAATATAGTGGAAGAAAAAGAAAACAAAGAAAGAACCTGAAATATTCAACCTGAAATCTTAAAATCAAGGGTCTTTCAATCCACCAGGCATAGAAAGAGAAATCTCTCGAAATTTATAGGCAGAAACTTACTACTTTTCATTCTGTTCTTTCTCTGAATAGCCTATTTACCGGCTCCTATAAATTTGGATATACTGGCCCCTATAAATTTTGGAATGTAACAAAAATTCGAAATTTTGAAGGACCCAAATCTGACTATTAGGATCCTAAAAACCGTTAAGAATAAAGTAAAGTTCCTAGAAGTTACAAAAACATAAATAAAATCCATAATAATCATGCATGTAAACCTGGTAACTCGTCTTGCGGTATTAGTACAGTTGAGAAGTGTGGATTTTGTTTAAGCAAAAAAGCATTCATATCACAAACAAAGGTCAAATTTGCATGCACAACATTTCAGATCTACGTTGATGGAAAGCCTTCTTCAACCAGTTTTCTTGTTTGATTTAGTTAGCACTGTATTGCTTTTGTCCTACACCACAAAATGGTTGTCTTTAGACTTGGATGAAGATGATGTTTTTATTTTATTTATTTATATTTAATAAGAATTGCTTCGTAAGGGTAGATGTTGGGTTAATGTTTGTGGTTTCTATTTTGGAGATACAAGGTAGTACTTGATCGTATGTTACACAAAGGTGTGGACTTTTAGGGTGCTAATAGATGGCTAGTGTCAAACATTTGATTTTACTTATTATACTTGTTGCAGGTACTCGTCAACAGCTTTTCAATGATTTTCTTCTAAAGATAAACAAGGAGCTCGCATATGTTCAGTTTGAGTTGCGGGCCTGTAGAAACCAATATGATGGCAATGTTTATTATGGTGTTGTCAATAATGTTGCAGATGAACAGTCAAAGCTTGGAACAAAATACACAGTGCCTCAGATTGCTTTCTATAAGGGCATTGTAAGTTCTTATGCACCTCTTTGTATCATTTTGAAACTTTTGTAATAATTAAAAGTGTTGCTGATGCATTGTTTACTTGATATGACACCAACGAGATTTTTGTTAGGATTACAAATATAATTTAAGGAAGAAAAAAGATAATTCTTGAAGAAATTAGGTGTATTACTCAAAGAACTTTGGAAGAAAAATAAGATCAGGAGAACTTAAAGTGGGTGTAATAAAAGGAAATAATTTCTTAAAGGAATTTAGGTGTTGCAATTAAAGCAGGTTTGGGAAGATGACTTTCTTAAAGTAGCAAATTTTAAATTTCTCTGGCATCTCTAGTCAGAGCAGTCCATTATTAGCACTCTTTTTTGTTGGGTTCTAGGGAGAAATTGTAAATCCATGGAGGAGATAGTTGATTTTTTGGACTCTTTGAGAGTTTAGAGGTCCTATTTGGCCTTGTCTAGCTTTTGAGGGATGCATTCCCCTTTTGAACGCCTCTTAATACAATCTTGCTTATTTATATAAAAAAAAAATACCCTTGTCAGGGCACGTCTCTTTAAAGTTCCAATTTTAGTTTCATGCATCTCCTAAGAATATGTCCACTAGGTTGAAGCTGCACGTACCAGGAAGGACAATTCCAAGATTAATGACAAATTTTATGTGTAGATTGTTCTTTTTAGGTTGACTGTTAAGTTGTTCCAAATTGCAGGCATCCAAGTCTTAGTGAAGTTTTTTGGTCCATCATATTCTTTGATGGCCTTATACGAGTTGTTTAATGTCTTCTTCTCCTTGATTGCTTCTGTTTTAATTGTTCATTATTTGTACTACTATCATTAACTCTGTAAGGCTTTCTTTTTTCGAGAACTTACTATAGTTTTGTGAATGCTGTTGGAGTATGTGCTATTTTAATTTGTTGAAGAGCTTAAAAAGTATAAAACGGGTGTGCATTGGCTGCAAATCATGTATTTTCCCCTTGAATCTCCACATGGATCAGAAACTACTTTTGTGGCCAATGGTCAGATAGCAATTTGATTGGTTTTATCTGTGGGTCGGTGAAAGAAGACCTAATATTATCTGATTCAAACTGGGTGTAGCGGACAAAAATATTTGAAGCTTTTAATTCGTTGCACAATTTTACCATGGTAGGAGGTAGATACTTTTCTATGCTTGCTTGATCTTTGTGTTCATTCCTAATTCTTGTAAGCCTCGTGAACCAGTCAATTTATGATAACAATCTAATCCTTAGCCCAAAGTTGTTTCTTTTTTCTTTCATAAATGGTGTTTGTATCATAAAAAGAAAGATAAGTATCCGAGTACAAGAGAGAAGAGGGCATACCCTCTACAAAAGAAAAAGAGTAGAGGATGAAAACATTCACTTCCAATACAATGGAAAAAACCGATGAATAAAACTAAGGAATAACATCACCCACATTAAGACCAGCAACATCAGGCACTGAGAACGAAGAAGCCACTTCATGAGAAGAATGAGATCCACCTGAATGCAACTGTGGTTCCTCTCCTTCCAAATACTTCAGAAGATTGCTGCAAATAGCATCTTTTGAATCTTAGAATTATGAAATTGTTGATGAAACCAGGCTGCCATTTGAAGAATTCTACTGCCATTATGAAAAACAGGCCTAGGCCAATGAGTAGTGAGGAAAACCAGTCCCAAACAGCAGCAGCAAATGGACAGTCAATGAAGAGATGATTCCTATGATCAATGGCTGCCGAACAATTGGTGCACATTGAGACTAACTCTATGTTTGGTACGGTGGCAATGAAAAGAAAGGATAACATTAGTTATGAGGGAAAGGAAAGGGAAGGGAAGGGAAGGGAAGGGAAGGGAAGGATAATTTTAACCCCCCTATCGTGTTTGGTTGATTAATGAAGGAAAAGAAAGGAAAGGATAATAATCATGTTTGGGAAAAGAAAGGGAAGGAAAGTATTTTCATAAATTTACTATTATACCCTTTTATATTATAAAAAATAAATTTATGGGCCTCAAAATTTTTAGGCCCATGGATGATGGGCCACCAGAAAAACAAATATATTTTTAGGGCAAATAATTTCAGCCTCCGCCTCCATCTCTATTCTCATTCTCAACTCTGAATTTGCCCTCTCTCTCTCTCTCTCTGCAACTGCAAACTACAAAATCTACAAGAATCAGAAGTTCAAAACCCATATATTTCAGAATCAATAGTGAAGTAGTTAGGTCCGACGGCTTCCATGAGCAGTGAGGAGGTCTGGTCAGCCACAAAATTGAAATTAGCTCCATCCATGTACCTATCTGCCATGCTTGATTCATTGCTGGACTGAACTTCGCCGCCCACTCGCAGTCAAGCGCGCATGCGAGTAGATCTAACGCGTCTTTCACGCGCCCCTTATTCTCCGGCGACTGCAATTCTGCCCTCAACATCAACTCTCTTGCCCGTCTAGCACCAGACCCGGAACTGGTCCGGCCATCGTTCCTCTCCTCAACGCAAAGGTTGCAGTGAATTTTGGCGCCCTAAGATCAAGGGTAAATTTGGTATTACATTAGTCTCTCCTGCTCTCTCCTCCCCTTTCCTTCCATTTCCTCCCATTTTTGGGAGGATTACAAAAGTTACTGTTAAGTCTATTTCTATCCCTCCAAAACCCTCCATTCCCTTTCTTTTCCTTCCAACTTTCAATACCAAACACGTTTTTTTATCACCCTCCATAACCTTTCTTTTCTTTTCCTCCCATTTCCACTCTACCAAACTGAGCCTAAGTGCCAACCTTTCCTCAAAGAAGGATCCTTATCCAGCGTAATGATGCAGTAAGAGACTGAAACTCTAGGTCTGTTAGAAGACCAGCAAAGAGAGGACCAGGAGACATGATTGAAGTGAGGTCTGCATGCTTCCCAAGCTCTTTTAAAAGCGAACTGACCATTATTCCAAAGTATGGAGTCTGCAGTAGTAGGCGGGTTGGTTTTCTGCTGGAAATTCAAGGGAAGAACTTATGCAGAATCAACTGCATCCAGTCTCCATTGACCATTAGAAACAAGAGAACAAAGAGAGGCAGTGACAGGTAAAGAAAGACTTCTTAAGCTTCTGGAAGAAAACTGATGCCTTAGCAAAGAACCCCCAAACCAAGGATCAAGAAAAAGATTTATTGAAATTATTGTAGCAGCATCTCCAATTTTGTAAGTCACATTCAATTTTGTAAGTCACATTCTGCAAAAGATGCTCCCTAACACAGAACATACTTCCAAACAAGAGAAGTAGATGCAGCAGGGACAGCTGATGAATAGGTGTAGTGAGCTGCATAAGTATTTCTAAACCAAGCTACCCATAGTCTGTCTTTACCCTGAATAGTCCCATGCTAAGAACAGAAAGCAGCTAGAAGATCTTCTAATCTTCTGATACCAAGCCTTCCCTCTTGCTTATATTTTGTAATTTGAGACCAGTTCAAATGATGAAGTTTCTTGGCTTGATCACTAGCATTCCATAAATTTTTTTTGCCAAGCTTCTGAATAGAATTTTGAACTGAAACGGGGATTTTAAAGATGGAGCACCAAAAGAGAAGAAGAGGAGTAATAACAGTCTTAATCAGTTCAACCTTACCAGCAACGGAAAGAATTTTAGCATACCAAGCAGAGAACTTTGAAGTGATCTTATCTAGAACAGGGCCACAATTACTCTTCCTCGAACCATAACAATTTATAGGTAAGCCCAGATATATATATATATATATATTGATAAGTAAGATTGTATTAGAAAGCGTTCAAACGGGGACACTGCCTAGAGAACTACACAAAGCCAAAAAGGCCACCAAACTCTCAAAGAGTCGAAAAAATCTACAATTTCCTCCATGGGTTTACAATTTCTCCCCAAAATCCAACAAAAAAGAGAAAAAGGAATAACTTAAGCGCTCCATTGGAAGTCTCTTCGCCATTGAAAGATCTTCTATTCCTTTATGTCCACAAGCACCACCAAACACACAGAGGCGTTATCCTCCAAAAGTCGCGGGCTTGGGTATCTACTGTACAACCTCTCCAAGCCTCAATCGAAACCCTAGAGGACCTAGGCATAACCCAATGGACCTCAAACAAACTCAACAAAAGTCCCTAACAAACTTGGGCCACTGGACAATGGAGCAAAAGGTGATCAACCTCTTCCTCATCTCTCTTGCACATACAACACCAATTAACAACAATTTGTTTCCTCAAATTGTCCAAGGTAAGGATTTTCCCTAGAACAGCCGTCCATTCGAAAAAATTCACCTTGGGAGGAGCCTTGGACCGCCACATAGCCTTCCATGGAAAAGAAGATCTTGGATCATCTGCGAGGACCCTATTGAAAGATCGCATAGCAAATCTCCTTTGCGTAGAAAGGACCCAAACATAGGAATCGAAACCCATCCCCATAATATCCTGACGGTAAAGCAAAGCCAAAAGCCCAAAGACATCCTCTAACTCCCAATCCTGAAAATGCCTTGAAAACATACATCCCAGGTTGTCCTCCCACTATCAAGCCGAGGGGTACGAGGAATGTGCATGAATTGACTCACGACACTTACGGCATAAGCAATGTCAAGTCGTGTGATACCCCTCGATTCTAGAGTCACGGGTGATCAAGTCCGAGCACAGATCCGAGGGATATCAAACAATTAATATTTAAACAAGCATTGGAATACAAGATGAATTAAAAATAAATAGATAAGCTGAAAAGAAAACTAAATAATAATTAAAAATCCTATACTAAAGTTCTCCAATCCTCTGATACCAGTAATTAATTAAAGCCACAACTCGGGAATCCATATTGTGGACCCCTAATAATATCCTAACTGAAATAACTGAACTGAAATAAAACTAATAATTAAACCATGAAGAAGAGTCCTACGTAGAGTCGGAAGAGTGAATGACTGTCTCTGCTTGGCACGAACAATCTCTAAGACTGGAACTGACGAACACCTGAAAAATAATGGTGGGTCAGACCCACAAACAAGTTCTAATCTACTACATCCCAAACAGAGACCCGATACACGTACACATCCTAATTAATTCAACAATAACTAAATAGTCCATACGTAGATATATACACACTAAAGGAACCTCACTCGACTATAGAGTTGTCTCAACCTGAATAGTAGGCAACATGCAAAATGCACATATAGTGGGCATGAGTACCTAGACCTACCAGGGTACACAACTACACTATATCTAGCTACACATCCCTGGCAATATATGCACCCTAACCACTGATCCTGAGACTCAAGCTCATATCATGGCGTATAATTATATATGTAAAATCCGTCCTATCCAACCATCAAAATAAACTATCCAATTATTATTTTAATAATATGTCATCCAACTATTCCGTTGACCTGACACGAATAAGTAGGACTTAACACTGTGGTTAATCCGTTTCCTTATTAAAAATAGGTAGGACTTAACTCTTACGTTAATTCATCCCTACTATGCCCCCATCCCATAATGGTGCATTAATCCATATCATAATCAAATAAAAGTTTCAAATTCAATGACAATGTAAATAATATTTACATCTAATAATTCAAATAAATATGATGTAATCATATGTACATCACTTACGTTTAATTGAGCAAAAATAATAATTCTAAGTATCATGCAATTAATTTACCTTATAAAAATTAACATGCATCTCAATAAATTGTACTCTCCCACAAACTGATTAAATTCATTTAAATTCAATTAACTGATTTAAATAATTTAACTCAACCCTATTTAATTAATTTAATCTTTTAAATTAAATTTTATATCAGTTACTATTTACAACCTTATGCAAATTAATCCAAACTGATATTAATCATATCAAGAAAAAAAAACAAAACGAAATTTCATTTAATACTAACTACTGATGCAGCCTTTAACTTTTGTTTTTTTCTTCTTCATTCGGCGTGCCCATGTGTTCTCACACATACATTAAACTAATCCAAGTATTATTAACCATGTGAAGGAAAAAATAATAAAACAAAGTCTCAATTAATATAGCAACTGATGCATGTTTATAAAAGTTCCTCGTTCGGTGTGCATGGAAGGAAAACACACAGAAATTCGTACATGCATATAACTGATGCATGCTCATGCTAATTTGGTTCATACTAAGCTAAAAGAATTCCTCGTGACGCGTGCATGAAGTAAACTGAGGAGGCCCTGGATGACATGGGCCAGGTCCGACTCGCAAAACACAACCTTCAGTCCGAACAGCTGGGTCAGCCCATAGAAAGACACTGCCATATGGGCCGGGCGGGAGTAAGCCCATCAAGGGTGACCAGGGCTTACAGAGGAATAGGCCCAGGTCCAACAATTAGTAAATATCTTGTAAATATCTTGTAAGTATCTATAAATAGGAGTTGGAATGAAGGGGAGGGGGATCTTTTTCGGGTTGAGGTGTAAGAATTCTAGAGAGAGAAAGAATAGAAGGAGTTTCTTGCATCTTCAATTGGCGCCGTCTTAGCTCAGCTGGTAGAGCACGTGGCTTTTAACCACGTGGGAAGATGCAAGAAACTCCTTCTATTCTTTCTCTCTCTAGAATTCTTACACCTCAACCCGAAAAAGATCCCCCTCCCCTTCATTCCAACTCCTATTTATAGATACTTACAAGATATTTACAAGATATTTACTAATTGTTGGACCTGGGCCTATTCCTCTGTAAGCCCTGGTCACCCTTGATGGGCTTACTCCCGCCCGGCCCATATGGCAGTGTCTTTCTATGGGCTGACCCAGCTGTTCGGACTGAAGGTTGTGTTTTGCGAGTCGGACCTGGCCCATGTCATCCAGGGCCTCCTCAACTGCCCCCATAATTGCCCCTTATTTAATAAGGGGTAATTATTGATGGCGTCTCATCATGACGCTGACGGCTAGAGATAACCACGTGGGGGAGCGAACGGTCAGATCCAGAATCAATGTTCCGGGGTTCGAGGGATTTCTTGCCTTCCCGACGCTTCGGCCCTCGGGCCCCTTTGCCTTTATAATGCTCTAGAATTCCACTTCACTTCCCTTTACCGTCTCCATCATCAGCCAAATCTCCCTCTTTCTAGAACTGTGCTAAGCCTTTTCCGGTGAAATCCTTCGAGAGTCATTCTCCCAGCGATCTTGCAGTCCTCCGAGGTTAGTTTCGTTCTTTTTACTTTCGGCAGGCTTCCATTTTCCCTCTTTTAGATTCTTCTTGCACTTCCACCATGGTTGTAGATCTGGGTGTTCTTCGTATGAGACTTAGACTTCCTGACAACATCGAAGTTAGGGTTTGCCCCCAAGACGTTAATATTACGACCGGCGCCGGCCTCCTGCCCGGCGAAGTCTTATTCACGAACCTTCAACTGAATGTTGTTAGGTTCCCTCTGCACCCTTTCTTTAGTTACGTCTTCAACAGATTGGGGATATCCCCTCTGCAGGTCAACCCCAACTTCTTTAGGATCATATCTGTTATGCTATTATTGATGCGTGACAGAAATCTGGACCTTGACCTCATAGACCTCCTTCTGTGCTATAAGGTCAGTAAGATCCGTACCAACGAGCCCTTCTACCACCTCTACCCGTTCGAGAAGATGTCCATATGCACTGACACAATAAAATCTGAAAAGGGTTGGAGGGATAGCATAGTGGGTATTAGTGGGGCTTGGTCTTCGCCGGCTGCAGAGGATTACCCAATCCCGAGCGCCTTTGGTGTCTGCTCTGTCTCCTCCTATAAAAAATTCAAATCCCATAAACATGACTGCCCCTGTGAAACATGCGTTCCTCGTTTTTGCACTTACTTATGCCGCTCCTTGGGAATTCCTTGTGATGACTTGAGCTACAGTGTTTGCAGGGATAGGAGTAACTACTTGAAGAGATACGTTCTGAACGATATTCCTTCCTGCTCAGATCTCCTCACTTCAGACAACCTCTTTGCGCTCTCATCACTCGGCTACAATATGAGCAGACTGCAGATTCCCTCTTTTGGCAGGAGGAAAAATACTCCCCCAGCCATTCCTGCTGCTGGGGCGACCTCCTCTCCAGCGTCGGTTTCTTCTTCAGCCACCATATCTGACACTGTCCCGAGCGCAGTGGCTACTAACCCTGTTGCCAGCGCCCCTGCTGCCAACCAGAACGCGCCCTCCCCAGCTACCATAGCTCCTGCTGCTGCGGGGGGCGGTCGGGACAAAGAGCGAGGCAAAAGGCCTCATCCTGACAGTGAAATCGATCCTGAGGAGGAGCCTCTTATTAGAAGGACCCGAGTCTCTGGGCCGGCTACTCTCTTGCACCGAGCGATCAGAGCTCCTTCTCCCTCTGGGCCTCCTGCAGCTGGTGGCTCTGCTTCTGCTTCAGGCCCCCCTTCTATCCCCAGCTTACCGCCATGGGCCCCTCGGTACACTCGAACGGATGGGACGTTCGTGAAACCGAACGAGACCATGCTGAAGGATGGCCAGACCGCTATGGCCTACTACAGGAGCATGTGGACTCCGAAGGACATTGAGGCGGCAAAGGGCCTTTCCCAGAAGGACGTGTTCAGTCGCTTTCCCCAATCTGCTATGGAGGTGACTTTTATTTTCTAACTCATGAATTCTCTTATATTACTTGGTCTTGCCTTCGCCCGTTCTGACTATTGGTTTAACCGTTCTTATTGTGCACCTATGCAGACATTGTTCGGGATGATGGCCATGCAGAAGCAGGTGGAAATGGGGAACGCCAGGGCCCGAAAGTATTCTGACAGCCTGGAGGTGGCTAATAAAGAAAACGACCTCCTTGCCATGAAGAATACCGAGGTGCTGGTTCGGCTTGACAAAGCCGAGCAAGAGAGAGATGTCCTGAAAAAGGAGAATGATTCCCTTCAGGATGAGAAGGACGCCCTCCAGCTTGAGAAGAGCGTCTGGCAGACTGAGCAGGAATCACTCAGAGAAGAGAAGGCAGAACTCCAACGCCTTCTAGCTGATGAACAGTCTGCTCGGATGGCTTTTGAAAAAAGAGCTCTGGACGAGCGTACCGCTCTGATCGACGCTATCAGCAGAGTGGGTGGTGGGATGCTGGCCCTTCACGCTCGGTTCTCCAGGGTCGGTGCTCTTCGGTATGCTCAAGGATTCCGGGAAGGTTTTGCCGACCGGGTTCCGGATGAGGGACAGACCAGCTCCACTCCGGATGAGGTAGACAAGGATCTGGGGATCGAACCCCTGGGGGTCTATGTCGACCCAGAACCCACCGAAGCGGAACGTATATTTGATGAGTGCCAGGACATCGCATCCTCAAGGATCATCACAGCTCCTCCTACCGCTCTGCCACTGACCGCTCCCCAATCGTCAACTGTGGCTCCCTCTGTAGCCACTGCTGACGCTGAACCCCAGCCGAACGACTCAGTTATTCACCTGGATTCCCCACCTCATGAAGGTGAGGCGGCTGATGGGGCCGAGGAGGCGAGTCGGCAAGACCAGGATGCTGTTGGTACTGAGGCGTCTAGCTAGGGCTCCTTCGAATTCTTCCAGTTCATATCTTCTTGTAATGATGGACATCTCTCTTTTGTAAACTAAATGTTCAATATTAATGAAATGGCCGAACTCTTTTTCTCTATGTGTTGTGCTCTGTTCAACTTATCTTCAGTACATATATATCTTTTCTCTCTTTTTCTTTTTATATTAGCTTCGCTGTGTGTTTGTACGGCAAGTGCCTGGCGCTCGGCTAGAATGCCACTTGCCACTTGGCTTTAAATTTTTAGCAAGTGTCTGGCGTTCGGCTTATAGTGCCAGCTGCCACTTATCTTGCTTAAGTGCCTGGCGCTCGGCTAGAATGCCACTTGCCACTTGGCTTTAAATTTTTAGCAAGTGTCTGGCGTTCGGCTTATAGTGCCAGCTGCCACTTATCTTGCTTAAGTGCCTGGCGCTCGGCTAGAATGCCACTTGCCACTTGGCTTTAAATTTTTAGCAAGTGTCTGGCGTTCGGCTTATAGTGCCAGCTGCCACTTATCTTGCTTAAGTGCCTGGCGCTCGGCTAGAATGCCACTTGCCACTTGGCTTTAAATTTTTAGCAAGTGTCTGGCGTTCGGCTTATAGTGCCAGCTGCCACTTATCTTGCTTAAGTGCCTGGCGCTCGGCTAGAATGCCACTTGCCACTTGGCTTTAAATTTTTAGCAAGTGTCTGGCGTTCGGCTTATAGTGCCAGCTGCCACTTATCTTGCTTAAGTGCCTGGCGCTCGGCTAGAATGCCACTTGCCACTTGGCTTTAAATTTTTATAGTAGACCATTGGAAAAGAAAATTCTTTTTTTTTTTTTTTTTGTAAATTCCAGTAACTTGCTCATTCATACGTATTTGATTGACAACAAATAACATCCAATTAAAGCCAGAACTTAGCTTCTATTGGTAGTACCTCTTCAGAGACGTGGCGTTCCAGGGCTTGCTGACCAACTTTCCCGCCATGGTTTCCAACGTATATGCCCCTTTGCCAATGACTTCTGCAATTCTGTATGGGCCTTCCCAGGGTGGCATCATTTTTTTGACCATCCCCACCTTTCTTTTCAGAACCAGATCGCCCGGGGCAAAATCCCTGTGTTTTACTCTCTTATTGTGACTATTCGCCAGCACTTGCTGATACGATGCTAGCCTTATAGCCGCTGCGTCCCTCCTTTCGTCTATCATGTCGAGGTTCAATCTTAACATCTTGTCGTTCTGATCCCGACTCCATGCTAAGCTTCTGATAGTGGGGACTAAATGCTCAACCGGTATAACTGCTTCGGTACCATACGCCATTGCGAACGGGCTCTCCCCAGTCGGCCGCCTTGGGGTGGTTCTGTAAGCCCATAGAACGTTCGGGAGTTCATCCAACCACTTCCCCTTATGATCTTCCAGCTTCTTCTTAATGCAGGCGAAAATGGTTCTGTTTGTGATTTCTGCTTGTCCGTTAGCCTGAGGATGACTTACTGCAGCCAACTTCTGGTTGATTCCATACTCCTCCAGCAGCTTTCTTACTTGCCTGCTGTCGAGGTTTGTGCCATTGTCCATGACTATTGTTCTGGGAACACCGAAGCGGCAGATAATGTTGTTCCAGATAAATCGTCTCACCTGAGTCTGAGTCACGCTAGGATACGGTTCTGCCTCCACCCATTTAGTGAAATAATCCGTGGCCAGTAACACATACTTGTTCTGAGCTCTTGCAGTTGGCAGAGGACCGACCACATCCATCCCCCATTGCGCGAAAGGCCACGGCGAGGCCATTACGTGCAATTCCTCAGGTGGTTGGTGGATCATTGGTCCATATCGTTGGCACTTATCGCACCTTCGAGAGAACTCCTCCGCATCTCTTGACATGTTTGGCCAGAAATACCCTTGTGTCATTGCTTTATGCGCTAACGATCTTCCCCCAGAATGATTGCCACACACACCCTCATGAATAGCTCGCAATACCTGCTGCGACTCCGCGGGGGTGACACATTTCAAGTACGGGCCAGAATAGGACCTTCTGTACAGCTGGTTCCGCACGATGGCGTACTTGGCAGCATTCTTTTTGAGTTTCCTAGCTTCATCCCTTTGCATAGGCAAAACGCCATCTCGAATATAGGTAATGATTGGGTCAATCCAACTCGGTTCATACGGTATGACGTTGACTTGCCAAGGGTCCGAGTCCATCGGTTCTTCGAAAATGGACGGCTGGGTCACTACTCCCACTGGAATCACCCTCGCCAATGTTTCACCGCAACTCGAAGCACTTCATGCTAAACGGTCTGCATCTGCATTCTGTTCCCTCGGCAACTGTATGAATTCAATCTTTGCAAAGTCCTTGGCTCTACGCAGAACGGCAGAACGATATGCCCCCATCATGTCATCCTTGGTTGCGTACTCACCATTTACCTGCCGAACAATCAGCTGCGAGTCACTATACACTGTCAAACTTTTGATCTGTAGCTCTCTGGCCAACTTTAATCCATTTAGCAACGCCTCGTATTCCGCTTCATTATTGGTGGCTCGGAACTCAAGTCTGAGTGCTTGGCTCAAGGAAGTACCCTCTGGGGTTTGCAGTTTGATCCCAATCCCAGCCCCCATCTGGTTAGAGGAGCCATCCACAAAAAGTTTCCAAGAGCCGCTTCTAAGGTCCTCTTCCGTATCTTCGGCATCACATTCTAGTAGGAAATCGGCCACCGCTTGCCCTTTAATAGCTGTTCTCGGCTCGTACGTTATGTCAAATGAACTCAACTCTATGGCCCACTTTGTCATTCTGCCCGAGAGCTCTGGCTTGTGCATGAGCGTTCTGATTGGGAAAGTTGTTAGAACAGCTATGGGGTGGGATTCAAAATAATGCCTTAACTTTCTCTTTGCATTTACAAGTGCGAGTACCACCCGTTCGGCCTTTGAGTATCTTCTTTCTGCCTCCATCAGTGTTTTGCTTACATAAAATACCGGGTATTGCACCCCTTCCTTGCAACGAATCAGAACGGCACTCGTCGCGACACCAGATACTCCAAGATATAGAAATAACTTTTCTTCCGGTTCTGGGGCTGACAGGACTGGTGGATTCTGCATATATTGCTTCAAATGAGTCAATGCCTGTCGTTGCTCATCCCCCCAGACCTGCCTTCCATGGCTCCGAATCGTGTCAAAGAATGGTTTGCAGTGGTCTGACAACTTTGAAATAAATCGACTTAATGCAGCTATTCGTCCTGTTAGGGCTTGCACCTCTCTGATCGTCTTTGGCTCGGCATTCTTAATCAAAGCCTCTGCTTGAGCGGGGCTAACTTCGATGCCCCTACGGTTGACCACGTGTCCCAGAAACTGCCCGGAACTCACACCGAACGAGCACTTGGTCGGATTGAGCCTCATCCCATATCGCTTTAGTACATCAAATACCTCTTGCAGATGCTTCAGATGATCATCCTTTTTCCTACTCTTTACCACCATATCATCAATATAGGCTTCGACAGTCTTACCCATTTGATTCTTAAAAACTTTGCTGACAAGTCGTTGATAAGTTGCTCCCGCATTCTTTAATCCAAAAGGCATAACTTTGTAGCAGTATGTTCCTCGCTCGGTGACAAAAGAAGTTTTTTCTTCATCTGCGGGGTCCATAGGAATCTGATTATAACCTGAATATGCGTCCAGAAAGGTTAAACGCTCATACCCCGTGGTGGCATCCACCATTTGATCAATCTTAGGCAACGGGAAGCTGTCCTTCGGACAGGCTTTGTTTAAATTGGTGAAATCAATGCATACGCGCCATTTCCCATTTTTCTTCTGCACCACAACGACGTTGGACAACCACTCAGGGTAGTGCACCTCTCTGATAAATCCCGCATCAAGCAGCCTATCAACTTCTTCCGTTATGATCTGATTACGTTCTGGAGCAAATCTTCGCTGCTTCTGTTTCACTGGTTTGAAATTAGGATTGACATTTAGGGAATGACAGGAGACGGAAGGACTAATTCCAGGCATGTCGAGGTGACTCCATGCAAATACGTCGACATTGTGGGACAAGAAATCCACTAGCTCTTGCTGCTCTTCTCTGGTCAGTCTTATACCCACTCTGGTAGTTCGTTCTGGCCTGGACTGATCGATCTGCACATCCAGAAGGGGCTCCTCGGTCAAGTCGGCTGACTCCTCCACCCTATTCTGCTCGAGTGGAGGTTCCTGTAATTGCTATCTGGTGCTTGTCGACCGGACGGGCGCCTTTCCTTTCCCTGCATGCTTTAGTGTGACGGAATAACACTCTTTGGCTGCGACCTGATCCCCCCGAATGTCTATCACTTTATCTCCATCGGGCCCGAGGCACCTCATGACCTGATGCAGAGTTGAGGGTACACCTCGGACTCTGTGAATCCATCCTCTTCCCATCAGGAGATTATACGAGGGGTGAATTTCCACAACCACAAAAGTTTCCATAAGAGCTCGCTCTGCAGCTTGAACTTCTACTTCCACCATCCCGACGGGTTCCACCCTCTTCCCATCGAACCCTAATAAGGGATTTCCGGTGGGCTTGAGCCTCTCTGGTTTAATGTCGAGCCTGTCAAATGTGTCCCTCGGCATAACATTCGCACTGCTCCCAGGATCGATCAGAACTCTGCGCACCAAGCAATCTGCCACTGTCAAACTGACTACCAACGGGTCGTCATGAGGCAGTTGAACACGCTGCAGGTCTGTCCAGTCGAACTTTATCTGCATTGACGGGCTCTGTTGGTGTAGAGTGGTCACATTGCCGACCCTTTTCTTCATCTGCGCCTGCCGCAGGCGCACCCGTAGCAGCTCATCTGACTCTTCACTAGGCTCGGGTCGACCATGGATAGCATTGATTATACGAACTGGTTGCGAATTGTGGGAGCTTTGTTTATGACTCCTTTTTATTTGTTCCACTGGTCGATTCTGCTCCATCGCCGAGCCTTGAACATAACTCGCAAACTCCCCTCTAGCTATCAACATCTCCACTTGCCTCCTCAGGTTCCTGCATTCGTTAGTCTGATGTCCGAAATCAGAATGAAAAGCACAATGTTTAGTTTGATCCCTCTGTTCGAGGGGTTGTCTAATTGGCAGTGGTGGATGAAACTTGTCCTTGTTCTCCTGATACAACCTCGCCAGAGTGACCTTCAGCGGAGTAATCAACTCTTCCTCCCTGGACCTTTTTTCGGCCTTCCAAGTGGTCTGACGTTGCGGCTGAGCCTGCTTCTGCCTGATCTTTGCCTTGGACTTTTCCTCGGTCGACACGAGCGACGTTGTCCGAGCATTAGCTGCCTCCTCTTCTTCGAGGCGCACAAAGCCATCGGCTCTCTCATTGAGTTCATCCATGGTAGCTGGCGTATTCACTACCAGACTGGTGTGAAACGGAGTTCCGCGTGTCATGGCTAACTTGAAGGCTTGAACTGCCGTAGAAGGATGGCATTCGATTACCATACTCTTAGTGAGATTAAACCTGGTAAGAAAGGCCTGGAGCCGTTCATCCTTGTGTTGCCGCATCGTGAACAGGCTCGAGATGTCCTTCGGCGGGCGTTTGTTCCCATAGTACTGGCTTATGAACCGATCGCACAGGTCCCTGAAACTGCCAATGGAGCTCCTAGGCAAGTTTTTGAACCAGCTGAGCGCCGGTCCGGCCAGGCTTGTAGGGAAGCATTTGCACATTAAAGAGTCGTTTTCCGTATTCAGGGCCATTTTCAACTGGATATGATACACATGATCGATCGGATCGGTTGTTCCGTCAAACAGAATAAAGACTGGCATAGCAAACTTCCTTGGATGCGGCGCATTCAAGATCTCGTCGGTGAATGGTGAATCCACCGTCCGAGCTGCGGATCGGAGAGCTTCATTCTCTCTCTGGAGTCCAGCGGTAGCTCTGTGAGTTACGGTTCTGCCCTCCGAACCGTGATGAGTGACAGTAACCATGGAGGGCCGGTAAGACGGATCGAACGACCGTTCCTCTATGAACTCTCTCTGCCAAGGCGACGCTACTCGACGGCGATCTACCTCCATCACTTCCTCTCGGTCAAACCTTTCCCGCTGCGGATCAACGTGAGTCGAGCCTTCGTGATCTTCAACTCGACGAACATTTGGCGGCAAATTGTCCATCATCCTTTCATCACGGTGGTGAGCTGACTGATTGTTCTCGTTCTGATCGCCTTGATGCGCGATACTAGATGGAACACCTCCTTCTCCGACCGGAAGCGGATGCGAAACTGCGGGTATCTGCCGATGCTGCAGTCCAGCTTTCAATTCTGCATTTTCTTTTCTGAGAGCTTCAATCAAGTTCATCAACTCTTCAAGCTTTGTTTGCTGGACAGCCTCCATCGGATTGGAGCTTTCACCTATCATTATTCCCGAACGGAGTAAAGGCATTAATCTCAAGTTCGCGAGTAGATCTGAGCTTCGTGAGTAGGAATTTTTAGATCTGGCTTCTAATTCTCCGAATTATGCTCACTGTTTACAAGATCTGAATTGTCTGAACTCTAAATCCGTCAGATCCTGCCACAATCGAGCAACTCGTGGTTGCGTAGATCTGAAGTCACTCCTGCCAAAGCTTCAAGAATCGTAATTCCTCCAGAGTAGGTCACAATCGCTCAGATCTGGATTCAAATCCGCAAGATCGAGTCTCGATCAACCGAATTGGTTTGAATCCATTCGATACTCCTCACTGATCAACCAAACTTTCATGCGTTTCCCACAGACGGCGCCAATTGAAGATGCAAGAAACTCCTTCTATTCTTTCTCTCTCTAGAATTCTTACACCTCAACCCGAAAAAGATCCCCCTCCCCTTCATTCCAACTCCTATTTATAGATACTTACAAGATATTTACAAGATATTTACTAATTGCTGGACCTGGGCCTATTCCTCTGTAAGCCCTGGTCACCCTTGATGGGCTTACTCCCGCCCGGCCCATATGGCAGTGTCTTTCTATGGGCTGACCCAGCTGTTCGGACTGAAGGTTGTGTTTTGCGAGTCGGACCTGGCCCAAGTATCGAATGGATTCAAACCAATTCGGTTGATCGAGACTCGATCTTGCGGATTTGAATCCAGATCTGAGCGATTGTGACCTGCTCTGGAGGAATTACGATTCTTGAAGCTTTGGCAGGAGTGACTTCAGATCTACGCAACCACGAGTTGCTCGATTGTGGCAGGATCTGACGGATTTAGAGTTCAGACAATTCAGATCTTGTAAACAGTGAGCATAATTCGGAGAATTAGAAGCCAGATCTAAAAATTCCTACTCACGAAGCTCAGATCTACTCGCGAACTTGAGATTAATGCCTTTACTCCGTTCGGGAATAATGATAGGTGAAAGCTCCAATCCGATGGAGGCTGTCCAGCAAACAAAGCTTGAAGAGTTGATGAACTTGATTGAAGCTCTCAGAAAAGAAAATGCAGAATTGAAAGCTGGACTGCAGCATCGGCAGATACCCGCAGTTTCGCATCCGCTTCCGGTCGGAGAAGGAGGTGTTCCATCTAGTATCGCGCATCAAGGCGATCAGAACGAGAACAATCAGTCAGCTCACCACCGTGATGAAAGGATGATGGACAATTTGCCGCCAAATGTTCGTCGAGTTGAAGATCACGAAGGCTCGACTCACGTTGATCCGCAGCGGGAAAGGTTTGACCGAGAGGAAGTGATAGAGGTAGATCGCCGTCGAGTAGCGTCGCCTTGGCAGAGAGAGTTCATAGAGGAACGGTCGTTCGATCCGTCTTACCGGCCCTCCATGGTTACTGTCACTCATCACGGTTCGGAGGGCAGAACCGTAACTCACAGAGCTACCGCTGGACTCCAGAGAGAGAATGAAGCTCTCCGATCCGCAGCTCGGACGGTGGATTCACCATTCACCGACGAGATCTTGAATGCGCCGCATCCAAGGAAGTTTGCTATGCCAGTCTTTATTCTGTTTGACGGAACAACCGATCCGATCGATCATGTGTATCATATCCAGTTGAAAATGGCCCTGAATACGGAAAACGACTCTTTAATGTGCAAATGCTTCCCTACAAGCCTGGCCGGACCGGCGCTCAGCTGGTTCAAAAACTTGCCTAGGAGCTCCATTGGCAGTTTCAGGGACCTGTGCGATCGGTTCATAAGCCAGTACTATGGGAACAAACGCCCGCCGAAGGACATCTCGAGCCTGTTCACGATGCGGCAACACAAGGATGAACGGCTCCAGGCCTTTCTTACCAGGTTTAATCTCACTAAGAGTATGGTAATCGAATGCCATCCTTCTACGGCAGTTCAAGCCTTCAAGTTAGCCATGACACGCGGAACTCCGTTTCACACCAGTCTGGTAGTGAATACGCCAGCTACCATGGATGAACTCAATGAGAGAGCCGATGGCTTTGTGCGCCTCGAAGAAGAGGAGGCAGCTAATGCTCGGACAACGTCGCTCGTGTCGACCGAGGAAAAGTCCAAGGCAAAGATCAGGCAGAAGCAGGCTCAGCCGCAACGTCAGACCACTTGGAAGGCCGAAAAAAGGTCCAGGGAGGAAGAGTTGATTACTCCGCTGAAGGTCACTCTGGCGAGGTTGTATCAGGAGAACAAGGACAAGTTTCATCCACCACTGCCAATTAGACAACCCCTCGAACAGAGGGATCAAACTAAACATTGTGCTTTTCATTCTGATTTCGGACATCAGACTAACGAATGCAGGAACCTGAGGAGGCAAGTGGAGATGTTGATAGCTAGAGGGGAGTTTGCGAGTTATGTTCAAGGCTCGGCGATGGAGCAGAATCGACCAGTGGAACAAATAAAAAGGAGTCATAAACAAAGCTCCCACAATTCGCAACCAGTTCGTATAATCAATGCTATCCATGGTCGACCCGAGCCTAGTGAAGAGTCAGATGAGCTGCTACGGGTGCGCCTGCGGCAGGCGCAGATGAAGAAAAGGGTCGGCAATGTGACCACTCTACACCAACAGAGCCCGTCAATGCAGATAAAGTTCGACTGGACAGACCTGCAGCGTGTTCAACTGCCTCATGACGACCCGTTGGTAGTCAGTTTGACAGTGGCAGATTGCTTGGTGCGCAGAGTTCTGATCGATCCTGGGAGCAGTGCGAATGTTATGCCGAGGGACACATTTGACAGGCTCGACATTAAACCAGAGAGGCTCAAGCCCACCGGAAATCCCTTATTAGGGTTCGATGGGAAGAGGGTGGAACCCGTCGGGATGGTGGAAGTAGAAGTTCAAGCTGCAGAGCGAGCTCTTATGGAAACTTTTGTGGTTGTGGAAATTCACCCCTCGTATAATCTCCTGATGGGAAGAGGATGGATTCACAGAGTCCGAGGTGTACCCTCAACTCTGCATCAGGTCATGAGGTGCCTCGGGCCCGATGGAGATAAAGTGATAGACATTCGGGGGGATCAGGTCGCAGCCAAAGAGTGTTATTCCGTCACACTAAAGCATGCAGGGAAAGGAAAGGCGCCCGTCCGGTCGACAAGCACCAGATAGCAATTACAGGAACCTCCACTCGAGCAGAATAGGGTGGAGGAGTCAGCCGACTTGACCGAGGAGCCCCTTCTGGATGTGCAGATCGATCAGTCCAGGCCAGAACGAACTACCAGAGTGGGTATAAGACTGACCAGAGAAGAGCAGCAAGAGCTAGTGGATTTCTTGTCCCACAATGTCGACGTATTTGCATGGAGTCACCTCGACATGCCTGGAATTAGTCCTTCCGTCTCCTGTCATTCCCTAAATGTCAATCCTAATTTCAAACCAGTGAAACAGAAGCAGCGAAGATTTGCTCTAGAACGTAATCAGATCATAACGGAAGAAGTTGATAGGCTGCTTGATGCGGGATTTATCAGAGAGGTGCACTACCCTGAGTGGTTGTCCAACGTCGTTGTGGTGCAGAAGAAAAATGGGAAATGGCGCGTATGCATTGATTTCACCAATTTAAACAAAGCCTGTCCGAAGGACAGCTTCCCGTTGCCTAAGATTGATCAAATGGTGGATGCCACCACGGGGTATGAGCGTTTAACCTTTCTGGACGCATATTCAGGTTATAATCAGATTCCTATGGACCCCGCAGATGAAGAAAAAACTTCTTTTGTCACCGAGCGAGGAACATACTGCTACAAAGTTATGCCTTTTGGATTAAAGAATGCGGGAGCAACTTATCAACGACTTGTCAGCAAAGTTTTTAAGAATCAAATGGGTAAGACTGTCGAAGCCTATATTGATGATATGGTGGTAAAGAGTAGGAAAAAGGATGATCATCTGAAGCATCTGCAAGAGGTATTTGATGTACTAAAGCGATATGGGATGAGGCTCAATCCGACCAAGTGCTCGTTCGGTGTGAGTTCCGGGCAGTTTCTGGGACACGTGGTCAACCGTAGGGGCATCGAAGTTAGCCCCGCTCAAGCAGAGGCTTTGATTAAGAATGCCGAGCCAAAGACGATCAGAGAGGTGCAAGCCCTAACAGGACGAATAGCTGCATTAAGTCGATTTATTTCAAAGTTGTCAGACCACTGCAAACCATTCTTTGACACGATTCGGAGCCATGGAAGGCAGGTCTGGGGGGATGAGCAACGACAGGCATTGACTCATTTGAAGCAATATATGCAGAATCCACCAGTCCTGTCAGCCCCAGAACCGGAAGAAAAGTTATTTCTATATCTTGGAGTATCTGGTGTCGCGACGAGTGCCGTTCTGATTCGTTGCAAGGAAGGGGTGCAATACCCGGTATTTTATGTAAGCAAAACACTGATGGAGGCAGAAAGAAGATACTCAAAGGCCGAACGGGTGGTACTCGCACTTGTAAATGCAAAGAGAAAGTTAAGGCATTATTTTGAATCCCACCCCATAGCTGTTCTAACAACTTTCCCAATCAGAACGCTCATGCACAAGCCAGAGCTCTCGGGCAGAATGACAAAGTGGGCCATAGAGTTGAGTTCATTTGACATAACGTACGAGCCGAGAACAGCTATTAAAGGGCAAGCGGTGGCCGATTTCCTACTAGAATGTGATGCCGAAGATACGGAAGAGGACCTTAGAAGCGGCTCTTGGAAACTTTTTGTGGATGGCTCCTCTAACCAGATGGGGGCTGGGATTGGGATCAAACTGCAAACCCCAGAGGGTACTTCCTTGAGCCAAGCACTCAGACTTGAGTTCCGAGCCACCAATAATGAAGCGGAATACGAGGCGTTGCTAAATGGATTAAAGTTGGCCAGAGAGCTACAGATCAAAAGTTTGACAGTGTATAGTGACTCGCAGCTGATTGTTCGGCAGGTAAATGGTGAGTACGCAACCAAGGATGACATGATGGGGGCATATCGTTCTGCCGTTCTGCGTAGAGCCAAGGACTTTGCAAAGATTGAATTCATACAGTTGCCGAGGGAACAGAATGCAGATGCAGACCGTTTAGCATGCAGTGCTTCGAGTTGCGGTGAAACATTGGCGAGGGTGATTCCAGTGGGAGTAGTGACCCAGCCGTCCATTTTCGAAGAACCGATGGACTCGGACCCTTGGCAAGTCAACGTCATACCGTATGAACCGAGTTGGATTGACCCAATCATTACCTATATTCGAGATGGCGTTTTGCCTATGCAAAGGGATGAAGCTAGGAAACTCAAAAAGAATGCTGCCAAGTACGCCATCGTGCGGAACCAGCTGTACAGAAGGTCCTATTCTGGCCCGTACTTGAAATGTGTCACCCCCGCGGAGTCGCAGCAGGTATTGCGAGCTATTCATGAGGGTGTGTGTGGCAATCATTCTGGGGGAAGATCGTTAGCGCATAAAGCAATGACACAAGGGTATTTCTGGCCAAACATGTCAAGAGATGCGGAGGAGTTCTCTCGAAGGTGCGATAAGTGCCAACGATATGGACCAATGATCCACCAACCACCTGAGGAATTGCACGTAATGGCCTCGCCGTGGCCTTTCGCGCAATGGGGGATGGATGTGGTCGGTCCTCTGCCAACTGCAAGAGCTCAGAACAAGTATGTGTTACTGGCCACGGATTATTTCACTAAATGGGTGGAGGCAGAACCGTATCCTAGCGTGACTCAGACTCAGGTGAGACGATTTATCTGGAACAACATTATCTGCCGCTTCGGTGTTCCCAGAACAATAGTCATGGACAATGGCACAAACCTCGACAGCAGGCAAGTAAGAAAGCTGCTGGAGGAGTATGGAATCAACCAGAAGTTGGCTGCAGTAAGTCATCCTCAGGCTAACGGACAAGCAGAAATCACAAACAGAACCATTTTCGCCTGCATTAAGAAGAAGCTGGAAGATCATAAGGGGAAGTGGTTGGATGAACTCCCGAACGTTCTATGGGCTTACAGAACCACCCCAAGGCGGCCGACTGGGGAGAGCCCGTTCGCAATGGCGTATGGTACCGAAGCAGTTATACCGGTTGAGCATTTAGTCCCCACTATCAGAAGCTTAGCATGGAGTCGGGATCAGAACGACAAGATGTTAAGATTGAACCTCGACATGATAGACGAAAGGAGGGACGCAGCGGCTATAAGGCTAGCATCGTATCAGCAAGTGCTGGCGAATAGTCACAATAAGAGAGTAAAACACAGGGATTTTGCCCCGGGCGATCTGGTTCTGAAAAGAAAGGTGGGGATGGTCAAAAAAATGATGCCACCCTGGGAAGGCCCATACAGAATTGCAGAAGTCATTGGCAAAGGGGCATATACGTTGGAAACCATGGCGGGAAAGTTGGTCAGCAAGCCCTGGAACGCCACGTCTCTGAAGAGGTACTACCAATAGAAGCTAAGTTCTGGCTTTAATTGGATGTTATTTGTTGTCAATCAAATACGTATGAATGAGCAAGTTACTGGAATTTACAAAAAAAAAAAAAAAAAGAATTTTCTTTTCCAATGGTCTACTATAAAAATTTAAAGCCAAGTGGCAAGTGGCATTCTAGCCGAGCGCCAGGCACTTAAGCAAGATAAGTGGCAGCTGGCACTATAAGCCGAACGCCAGACACTTGCTAAAAATTTAAAGCCAAGTGGCAAGTGGCATTCTAGCCGAGCGCCAGGCACTTAAGCAAGATAAGTGGCAGCTGGCACTATAAGCCGAACGCCAGACACTTGCTAAAAATTTAAAGCCAAGTGGCAAGTGGCATTCTAGCCGAGCGCCAGGCACTTAAGCAAGATAAGTGGCAGCTGGCACTATAAGCCGAACGCCAGACACTTGCTAAAAATTTAAAGCCAAGTGGCAAGTGGCATTCTAGCCGAGCGCCAGGCACTTAAGCAAGATAAGTGGCAGCTGGCACTATAAGCCGAACGCCAGACACTTGCTAAAAATTTAAAGCCAAGTGGCAAGTGGCATTCTAGCCGAGCGCCAGGCACTTGCCGTACAAACACACAGCGAAGCTAATATAAAAAGAAAAAGAGAGAAAAGATATATATGTACTGAAGATAAGTTGAACAGAGCACAACACATAGAGAAAAAGAGTTCGGCCATTTCATTAATATTGAACATTTAGTTTACAAAAGAGAGATGTCCATCATTACAAGAAGATATGAACTGGAAGAATTCGAAGGAGCCCTAGCTAGACGCCTCAGTACCAACAGCATCCTGGTCTTGCCGACTCGCCTCCTCGGCCCCATCAGCCGCCTCACCTTCATGAGGTGGGGAATCCAGGTGAATAACTGAGTCGTTCGGCTGGGGTTCAGCGTCAGCAGTGGCTACAGAGGGAGCCACAGTTGACGATTGGGGAGCGGTCAGTGGCAGAGCGGTAGGAGGAGCTGTGATGATCCTTGAGGATGCGATGTCCTGGCACTCATCAAATATACGTTCCGCTTCGGTGGGTTCTGGGTCGACATAGACCCCCAGGGGTTCGATCCCCAGATCCTTGTCTACCTCATCCGGAGTGGAGCTGGTCTGTCCCTCATCCGGAACCCGGTCGGCGAAACCTTCCCGGAATCCTTGAGCATACCGAAGAGCACCGACCCTGGAGAACCGAGCGTGAAGGGCCAGCATCCCACCACCCACTCTGCTGATAGCGTCGATCAGAGCGGTACGCTCGTCCAGAGCTCTTTTTTCAAAAGCCATCCGAGCAGACTGTTCATCAGCTAGAAGGCGTTGGAGTTCTGCCTTCTCTTCTCTGAGTGATTCCTGCTCAGTCTGCCAGACGCTCTTCTCAAGCTGGAGGGCGTCCTTCTCATCCTGAAGGGAATCATTCTCCTTTTTCAGGACATCTCTCTCTTGCTCGGCTTTGTCAAGCCGAACCAGCACCTCGGTATTCTTCATGGCAAGGAGGTCGTTTTCTTTATTAGCCACCTCCAGGCTGTCAGAATACTTTCGGGCCCTGGCGTTCCCCATTTCCACCTGCTTCTGCATGGCCATCATCCCGAACAATGTCTGCATAGGTGCACAATAAGAACGGTTAAACCAATAGTCAGAACGGGCGAAGGCAAGACCAAGTAATATAAGAGAATTCATGAGTTAGAAAATAAAAGTCACCTCCATAGCAGATTGGGGAAAGCGACTGAACACGTCCTTCTGGGAAAGGCCCTTTGCCGCCTCAATGTCCTTCGGAGTCCACATGCTCCTGTAGTAGGCCATAGCGGTCTGGCCATCCTTCAGCATGGTCTCGTTCGGTTTCACGAACGTCCCATCCGTTCGAGTGTACCGAGGGGCCCATGGCGGTAAGCTGGGGATAGAAGGGGGGCCTGAAGCAGAAGCAGAGCCACCAGCTGCAGGAGGCCCAGAGGGAGAAGGAGCTCTGATCGCTCGGTGCAAGAGAGTAGCCGGCCCAGAGACTCGGGTCCTTCTAATAAGAGGCTCCTCCTCAGGATCGATTTCACTGTCAGGATGAGGCCTTTTGCCTCGCTCTTTGTCCCGACCGCCCCCCGCAGCAGCAGGAGCTATGGTAGCTGGGGAGGGCGCGTTCTGGTTGGCAGCAGGGGCGCTGGCAACAGGGTTAGTAGCCACTGCGCTCGGGACAGTGTCAGATATGGTGGCTGAAGAAGAAACCGACGCTGGAGAGGAGGTCGCCCCAGCAGCAGGAATGGCTGGGGGAGTATTTTTCCTCCTGCCAAAAGAGGGAATCTGCAGTCTGCTCATATTGTAGCCGAGTGATGAGAGCGCAAAGAGGTTGTCTGAAGTGAGGAGATCTGAGCAGGAAGGAATATCGTTCAGAACGTATCTCTTCAAGTAGTTACTCCTATCCCTGCAAACACTGTAGCTCAAGTCATCACAAGGAATTCCCAAGGAGCGGCATAAGTAAGTGCAAAAACGAGGAACGCATGTTTCACAGGGGCAGTCATGTTTATGGGATTTGAATTTTTTATAGGAGGAGACAGAGCAGACACCAAAGGCGCTCGGGATTGGGTAATCCTCTGCAGCCGGCGAAGACCAAGCCCCACTAATACCCACTATGCTATCCCTCCAACCCTTTTCAGATTTTATTGTGTCAGTGCATATGGACATCTTCTCGAACGGGTAGAGGTGGTAGAAGGGCTCGTTGGTACGGATCTTACTGACCTTATAGCACAGAAGGAGGTCTATGAGGTCAAGGTCCAGATTTCTGTCACGCATCAATAATAGCATAACAGATATGATCCTAAAGAAGTTGGGGTTGACCTGCAGAGGGGATATCCCCAATCTGTTGAAGACGTAACTAAAGAAAGGGTGCAGAGGGAACCTAACAACATTCAGTTGAAGGTTCGTGAATAAGACTTCGCCGGGCAGGAGGCCGGCGCCGGTCGTAATATTAACGTCTTGGGGGCAAACCCTAACTTCGATGTTGTCAGGAAGTCTAAGTCTCATACGAAGAACACCCAGATCTACAACCATGGTGGAAGTGCAAGAAGAATCTAAAAGAGGGAAAATGGAAGCCTGCCGAAAGTAAAAAGAACGAAACTAACCTCGGAGGACTGCAAGATCGCTGGGAGAATGACTCTCGAAGGATTTCACCGGAAAAGGCTTAGCACAGTTCTAGAAAGAGGGAGATTTGGCTGATGATGGAGACGGTAAAGGGAAGTGAAGTGGAATTCTAGAGCATTATAAAGGCAAAGGGGCCCGAGGGCCGAAGCGTCGGGAAGGCAAGAAATCCCTCGAACCCCGGAACATTGATTCTGGATCTGACCGTTCGCTCCCCCACGTGGTTATCTCGAGCCGTCAGCGTCATGATGAGACGCCATCAATAATTACCCCTTATTAAATAAGGGGCAATTATGGGGGCAGTTGAGGAGGCCCTGGATGACATGGGCCAGGTCCGACTCGCAAAACACAACCTTCAGTCCGAACAGCTGGGTCAGCCCATAGAAAGACACTGCCATATGGGCCGGGCGGGAGTAAGCCCATCAAGGGTGACCAGGGCTTACAGAGGAATAGGCCCAGGTCCAGCAATTAGTAAATATCTTGTAAATATCTTGTAAGTATCTATAAATAGGAGTTGGAATGAAGGGGAGGGGGATCTTTTTCGGGTTGAGGTGTAAGAATTCTAGAGAGAGAAAGAATAGAAGGAGTTTCTTGCATCTTCATAAACAAACAGAAATTCTAATTAACATTAAATTACAATCTGTTTGTTTGTTTTTTTTTTAAATCAACTGTCAATGGTTTCCTTGTTCGGCGCGTGTGAACCAAATTTAATTCCATCTGAATTATATAAATTACTCCATACTAAACCCATAATATATTACAACATAATTAAAACCCAAACTATAATACAACACATGAAAATTTAATTTATCAAAATATGAAAATTATCTCAAACCCATTATTAAAACACATGAACTGAATTTTTCAAATAAATCCATATAATTAGATTCAATTAATTTATTTAAAGAACCTAGAATTAATCTAGCATGCATAGGGCATGAATCAAAGGAGAAGAGAAGAATTAAAACTTGCCTTTAGGAATTTGATAAAAACCCTAGCCTCCTTCTTCCTTTTCCTCTTCCTTCCTCTTCTTTTTTTCTCTCTCTAAAATATAGTACGTGATATATTTTCTAACCTCTTTCACAACTCTATAGTTATATATATTTATAGGCAACTAAAATAACCCTAATCCTTTTTCCATTCCAAGACAAACCAAAATAAAATAAAATAAAATTTAAATACTAAAAAGGTAATTTAAATATATGTTACGTATAATCTATGTGTACTTCTTTTTACATATAATATATAAATATATATCAGATTATTATTAAAGGGACTTTCCTTATTTAATATATTTATTTATTTATTTATTAAATATACATATACATGGGTAATTATCCGTACCCATTAAACCCCTTATCCAAGTAGTCCATGGAGCCTAATTGATTGGTCAATTACTACTATCCATATCCAATTCCTTAAAAACATAAAAATAAAATAAAAAAAATAAAAATAAAACAATTAAATTCATAAACAAATACACATCATCACATACAATTCAATTTAAACAAATAATTAAATCAATTAAACAAGTAAACAATTAGTCAAGAAAAACAACTAAATAATTAAATGCAATTAAAACTATTAAAATAATACCGAGACTATCCTTTTTAAATTAGGGGTATTACAAGTCGAGTCATGGATAGATAGACGAGCTTCCCCACAAGTCGTTGATACTGACCAACATCTGACAACAACTCCCCCTCAGAATCGGCCAACCGATGATTTTGCTCAATCAGAGTAACAGCAGGACGAGCGCTAAGCTGATTAAAAGCAGAAAGCAAGTCAAGAACATACTTGCGTTGAGAGATGAAAATGCCAGCCTTAGAGCGAGCCACCTTAATGCCCAAGAAGTACCGTAGGGGACCAAGGTCCTTAATCTCAAACTGACGGCCAAGATGTTTTTTAACCTGAGCAATTTCGGTAGTATCATCTCCGGTAAGAACAATATCATCGACATACACATTGAGAGCAATTATCTTACCACCTGAATGACATAAAAACAAGGTATGATCAGCTGCACTTTGATGGAAACCAAACTTGAGCATGGCAATGCCAAAGTGATCAGACCAAGCTCGGGGAGACTGCTTGAGGCCATACAGAGAACGACGAAGACGACATACCATACCAGAATGAGCAAGAGAACGAAATCCCTGAGGAGGGACCATGTACACCTCCTGCAAATCACCATTGAGAAAGGCATTCTTGACATTTAACTGAAATAGAGGCCAAGATCAAATTGCAGCAACGGAAAATAATACATGGATGGTATTCATCTTGGCAAACAGGGGCAAAAGTCTCCTGTTAGTCTATGCCATAAGTCTGAGCACAACCTTTGGCAACCAACCGGGCCTTGTAACGAGCAACTGACCCATCTGAATTATGCTTAACTGTAAACACCTAATGACAACTCACAACCTTTCGTCCAATAGGAAGCGGAACCATGTCCCAAGTTTGATTTTTCTCAAGTGCTTGTAGTTCTTATGTTAGAGCATCACGCCATTGAGGTTGTGCTAGTGCAACTACAACACTAGAAGGAAGAGGAACTGAGGCAACAGAAACAAGAAAACTTCTATAGGAGGGTGAGACAGCACAATTAGAAACAAAATTAGAAATAGGGTATGTACAAGAACGTTTACCCTTTCGAAGAGCAATGGGGCGATCATCAAGTGGAACAATAACTTGAGAAGGCGGAGCTGGTGCCGAAGGAATAGGGCAATCAATCGTGGAAGTAGAAGCTTGTATCTGTTATCTCCGACTATAAAGCTGTGGAAAAGGAACAATTCCCCCTGCTGGAGGGGTATCACGAGGAGGAATCATAGAAGACGAAACAAGTAACGGTAGAGGACTTGAAGACGGAAGAAGGTAATCATCCATTATATTCAATGGGAACCATTCACTTTGAGAACCAACTGAACCACTATAGTATGGTGTACGCTCAAAGAAAGAAACATCCATGGATATAAACCGTCGACGACTGGGAGGATGGTAACACCTATAACCTTTTTGAGAGTGAGAATAGCCCAAAAACACACTTTAAAGCCTTGGGGTAAAGCTTTGTACGAGTTTACCCCAACTGCTGAACAAAGCACACACACCCGAAGACTCGCGGAGGAATAAAAAAAGAGAGATGAATGTAAGATTGAGAATGGGGCTGCAAAGTTAAGAACCCTAGAAGGAGTCCTATTAATGATGTAAACAGCTGTAAGAACTGTATCTCCCCCAAATGATTGGGGAACATTTATGCCAATGCAGATTGCTCTGGCTAAGTCAAGGATGTTGCAATTCTTTCTCTCAGAAAGACCATTCTGTTGAGGAGTTTTAACATTAGCCATCTGATGCTCTATCCCAAATCTTGTACAAAACCGCTATACTTCCCTATTAGTGTATTCCGTACCCTGGTTAGATTTGAATTTTTTAATGGCACGACCATATTGAGTCTGAACCATTGTCATAAATTTTTAAAAAATGGTGTACACCTCATTTTTGGTTTTCATAAGATAAACCCATGTAACACGACTATGATCATCAATGAACAATACGAAATATTAAAACCCAAGACTAGAAGTAACTGGGCAAGGACCCCGCACATCTGAATGAACAAAAGATTAAAAGGTGTTAAAACAGATTTATTACTACTAGCAGGATAATTGGAATGAACATGTTTAGCTATATGACATGTCTCACAGGATAAATCTAACACTGCTACGTTACAAAATAAGGAAGGAAATAAATGTTTAAAATAACTGAAAGAAATATGTCCTAAACGCATGTGCTAATGCATAAGCTATAATTTATTATATGAAACAAAATTAGAAAATGAACCTGAATGTGCTTGAGGCGACAAAGGAGCATA